AAATTCTTGCAAAATTTAAAACATTCTCCAAAGAGAACACTATCTGTAGCAGAGATTTCCCAGGAAGGTATTCATGTCTGGTATCATTCTTTGAACATTCTCCCCTGCTGCTCCTACAGGAAACAAATCACATTTCCAAGATTGTTAAATTATTACCTAGGAAAGCTTTGGCAATTTCCCATTCAGTCACATTTTCCAGTCATTTGGTTCTCATGTTTATATACTTAGTTGTTCACTTTTAGCCAATGTCCAGGAGGGACTCAGCTCCAGGGAATTCTTTGTTTTATTTCCTTCAATTTTGACATCTCTATGAGTTAGCTATTATATAATAGTATCACAGCCTACTGCTTTCTGACTCATATTACCCAGGAGACAATTCAGGAATGAACTTGGACTAGAATTTTGCATATAATGCTGAGTTTCCTAAAGGTTTTGGTGCCTATTTGTCTATAATCTGTGAAGATCCTTTTTCTTTTCTTTACTACACAAAACGTTATTTGAATAGTTCAAGTGCCCTGCAATGTATTTCTACAATTTTCTTAGCTACGGGCAACTACTGTAATGAGAAGTAGATAGCTGATCTCATTTGGCAGGTCAAACCATGGAGCAAGTCAAAGCTGCCTCCTCCTCCTTTTCTGTTCCATCTACATTATACAGTTTGTTTCTTTGGTTTTTGAACACATGCCAACTCTTCTCAAAGATCTTCCTCTGGGCTCTAATATTCATTTGTTCTCTAGATTTATAAATGTAAATACTACATAATTTACCTAAGTGACTGAATCACCTCAAAACTACCTAAAAAGGCTTCTTAAAGTGCAAATGACTTGGTGATTACTGTGTAACATATATAAAAGTCTAACCACTATGTTGTACACCTGAAACTAATATAATATTGTGTGCCAACTATAATTAAAAATAAATTTTAAAAAAAGTAAAAAATGAAAAGTGCACACAATTTGGGAACCAGAGAGAGCAATACTGAGCCCATTGACAGGACAGTAGGAGGCAGAATAGTGAAGGGATACTAACTTTTGTTTCCAGAAACACATACACACTCAGTGATGTAAGAGTGGAAACTGCTTCTTCTTCTACTAAGGGACTGTGGAAGTGACCCAGAACTTTTATCTCAGCTTTTTCTCTTCCCTGTGAAGATAAGAATTTTTGTCACAACTTTTTCAGATGCTGCAAAAAGATTACTAGGATTTGTGAACCGGTTTGAGTTCTTTGTTAGAAGAATGTCAGCAAAGTCTAAAACTGGACGTTCAGGTGAGTAATTACAGGGCACCATATAGTTCTCAAAGGCAGAGTCAAAACTCTGTACATCAGATATAATAATTGGGAAGAAGGCATCTGAGTGTTAACTGCTCTGAACTTATTGAAAAGCCTGGAATTCCTTACCATACCTTTGCTGACATAATGTATGTACATGATATATGACAAGTTCCTTTTTGATCAGACAGAATAAGCACATAAGTGTCAAAGATTAGATAATGGGAAAGAAAAAAACACCCTAAAATCCTAAACTGATATAAAGAAAAATATAAATAGGCATTCCTTAAGATCATCAGTATTATATTGAAACTAAGAATCAATGGGTGTGGAGGAAGGGTGAATAGCCTGATGAAAGGAGAGAATAAATAGGAAGTTTCAAAGATGAGATTGAAAAGAGGAAATGACTCAGCCACAGTTTAGGGAGGGAGTTCCAGTTAGGTGAGTTGTAGGTGATAATAGGGTCTGAGGAAGCTCATAATCTGCAGAAGCCAAGATCCTAGAAGCTCATTGCAGATTGTTCTCAGGAGTCATGGACACAAAGCCCAATGTCAACAATGAAAAATAATCCTCTCAATGGAGAAAATCTTGGTGTCTTTTACTTTTAATACTCATGGCAGTTCTGGTCATTGAACCTTAAGAGATAACTGGTATAATGGTAGCAAAAACAAAAAATGGTTTAAGTGAAAGAAAAATATTTATATTAGTCCAAATTGAAGTTATTCATCAAACATTTATTGGGAATCTCACTGACTCAAACACTGGAGGTACAGCTGCAAGCAAGAGGGGCATGGGTCCTCTGTCCCTCAGGGAGGCAATCTTGCAGATAAATGACATGTCCAAGGAACATGGCCATTAATTGACATTAATAAAACCATGGTTAAAGTAAATGTAGACATGTTCAATTGGTATTCACATAGAGAGCACACTTGAAATTTTAAAAGAGACAGTTTTCAGACAGATCTGGACAGATATTGAGGAAGCCAGGGTGGTTTCTGTAAGTAATTTGCCTAAAAGTAGACTGGAAAGTCTGTGAGGGCAGAGTTTATGTCTGCTTGGTTCACAGTGGATCAGTATGGACTAGCAGAATATCTGAAAAGTAGTAGCCAATCAAAAAATTTTTTAAAAATAAATGAGTGAAGCGAAGATTTGTAGTACCTGTTATGTGCAGGTCTTGCTTTCACAGTGATTAGTATGAGTGTCACTGACCAGTATATAAACAATTTAAATACAATGTAATGGGTTTTAGGAGATAAGCATGTGATACTATTAAGATGAGGGTCTGTAAATAATTTAGGGATTTGGAAAGCTTCTTGAAGGAAGTAATACTTGAGCTGAATTTCAAAGAAAGAAGGTGAGAAAAGGCAATAGAGCACAGTATGTATTAAATTCCTATGAAACGAAACATCATTATGCACTTGAGGAACCCAAACCAGTTCGGTTTGGCTAGAGAGAAGAATGGGGTGCCATGATGGTGTGATGGTAGATTAGGCAATAGGGAGAATCTAGAATTTGAAGAACCTTTATATGCTATGAAAAATTGGGGCATTATTCTAAATCTGGTGATCACTAAAATATTTTAAGGGAATGACGGGATCAGAATTGCCTTTTGAAGATCACTCTGGCATCAGTGGTAGTGAGAGATGGGGGAAGAATAGAGGTGGGAAGGCTTAAACTAGACATGAATGAAGATAATGGACTAGATATGAAAGATGTTACTGTGAAAGAGATTGGATGTGGGGGGCTGAGTGAAAGGTACTAGAATGACAGCCAGGCCTCAGGTTTGGATGTAGTGCCACTTAATAAGATAGATAATAGAGAAGCAAGAGTTTTCTTTTATTTTTTGAAGATGAATGGGGAGGAAAAAAAAGATTAAAAATCCAGTCTTTACTTGATCTTGAGGTATATAAGTGTCTGTTCTGCTTCTTTTGATGCCAATATCATGGAGGTCAACCACACACCCTCTCACAAATGTTTCTTGTTGTATATAGGTCTGGAGGGAGCATGGGATTTCTCAATTTTATGTTGGGGCCCCCTCGAAAAGGAACAGATTTGAATAAGCAGATTGTATGTTGGTCGCTATAAAATGGAGATACAGCTCTTTAATAATATGGAGAAATAGTTCTTTAAAATATGGAGAAATCGTTGTTAATAATACTGTGACCTAAGACCTTATTTCCTATATAAATAAAACATGCAGCCTGGGTAACAAGTCTAATCTGCTTTCCATTAAAATTTGGTAACAGTAAAGCAGATATGATAGAATGATATACTACTTTATCTCTTTGAAATTACACCCTGAGTGGTCATATATATTCCACAGTGAAATTTTTTAGTAGAGAAGAAAAAAAGTTTTAAATGTAATCCATTTAATATGCAATTTTCCTGCATAGCTGTAATTACTAAACCTCTTTTCCTTATTACGTTGTTGAATATTATTTTCGTCCTATTTTTCAACCAAATGGTTATTAGCTTTACTAAATTTTATCTATCTTAACTCTTAGGAACTAGTTCCTTAAGGATGTTTCCGGGAAACTAAGCACATAAAAACACAAATTCTGGTACGTAAAAGATTAACCTTGTCTTTTATGTGTGTATTGTAGTCACTCAAACAACATTTAATGACCCAAGAAAACATCTTTAGCCATTCATCTAAGATTCTAAGTTGTATTCACGAAGCTTTCATTTTGTTATTTCCATCAAAAGATTCTGGTATGAATGACAATACTGGTAAGCGCATTCACTTCTAAAACACCAAACTGTTAGTCTAATCATTCTCCAAAGTTATCTTTCTCTCTCTATCCACCATCTAAAGATCTAAACTTTTTCATTCCCTCTCCTTAAGGAAACAAAAAGCCCGGAAAACAATCTCCCCTGCTTTCCTCCCAAACACAATTCATCCCGGAATAAGGAGAGGGGAGCCAAAGTGGAACAAGTTGCGACGGACGACCGGGACCACAGAACCGGGATCAAAGTCCGCGCTCGAAACGTAGACGGGGAATCATTCATTACGCCTGGAAAGATCTGGTCTATTTGCCCAAAGAGAACGTCCCCAAAGCCCCAGGAACTGACCGGTGCTAAGAACCAGAAAAAGAGCGAGTGACAGGCAGAGAGGCCCGACCCTCTGGGACTGCCTGAAACACGCATGGAATGCAAAAGAATGTCAGGAATCTGGGACCGGCCGCGGCCGGCCAGGGCGACCAGCCAGGTTAAAACCTAGCTTCACCGGCAAGCACATCGCTGAGACCCTTGAGTGGGGAACGGTACCTCGGGGCTGACAGAGCGGAGAGAACTGATTATTGGGAAGCCAGAGACCAAATCGCTTCCAAAAGTTGGAATCAAGGGCCACTGTCCGGTACGATCCTCTCGACACCCGGAGCAAATCTGGGGGCGGGCCTAGGGGCGGGGCCAGAGCTCCTTCCCCGCCTCTAACGGCAACCCTGACGGCGCCCTCAGTGCGCCTGCGTAGGGTGAGGCCCGACTCTATTTGGCCACTGGGCGTGCGGCGGCAAAGGCGTTCTCTACCCAGCATGCTGCGCGGGAGCGGCGGGCTACGTCTATCCCCTTCCCAACGCTGCCCCCTTTTCCCCCTCCCGCCGCGGCCCCCCTTTTCCTAAAGTGTGAGTGAGACGGGCAGATGGAGGAGGGACTGTAATGGCGGCGGCCGGCAGCTCCCTGCTCTCGGCAGGAAT